CTTAATTTACCAGGTGGGAAACACAGACCTTCAGTGCCTGATCTAAGGGAACTTTCTTCTCTTTTATTCCCACTAATTTCTCCAGTGCCGGATCATTCAGCGGATAAATAATGGACGAGGGCTCTTGTGGAGGTGTCAGAGCTTTGAGGGGACAGGTCAACCTCTAATCTCACTAGAAACAGAGGGCACTGCCACCACACATTGACCCCCCACTCCCCCTCTGTTCACCTCATCTAACCCTTGCTTCAACCCCCACCCTGTGGCAGCTAGGGCTGGATGGCCACTTAAAGAATCAAACCAGGGCCAAACAACATTCCTGTGAAGTCAACAATGAGAGGACCTGCAGAGAGAAGATTAGGAGGAGATCTCAGAGAACTGATTGGGAGGAGAGATAAGAGTTAGATATACAGAAAGATGAATCCTGTGGTGAATGCTATATATTAAGCAGGTGTGTGCAGTGCAGTTAATTATTTGTATATGCATCGTTATACCCATTACCACCACCAGGAGGGGCTCACTGCTTTTGTCTTTTGTCTGCCAGCTGGTTTGTTTTCCCTTTACAGTGCAAAATTGATGTCTTTTGGGAAGTGCAGAACACACAAATAACTGAATTACATTAACTACCAAAGCTTTCACCATTGTGGTAATGGAAAAAAATAAGAAACAACTCAATATTTGGGCTACCAAGGATACTGAATTATGCACAATGGTCACTTAGAAACATATTTATTACTTCATTTTATAATAAAATAAGGCTGTGGTCTAAAAATCTATTTTTCTGTCAGCACCCCTCCCCTCTATTTTCCTGTCTTTCTCACTGTTAGTTTTCCCTCCAAAATGCATCAGCCTATGTTGCATTTACAGTGGAGGAGGAGGTATTTAGATCTTGTACTTCAGTACTAAAATCACACTGTAAAAATATTGTGTTGTAAATGTTACTTCAAAAAAAAAAAAGTAAGTATAATCAGAAAAGGGAATTAAAGTATTAAAAGTAAAAGTACTCAATGTAGATACATTCCTGCTCCTTTTTTGCTCTGTGCTCAAATAACGGTTGAGCGAGCCTCAGTCATCTTTCTCCTTTCCTGTACTTAGATATGCCTCGTCTATGTTGAAAAGACAACCACATTTTGAAGATGGTTAAAGCATAAACACATATACAGTACAGCCGGCTTAGGAAGGGTCAATACCCTGCTTGTCTGGTAATGTTTCTAAGAGTTAGAGATTTGTTAGATTATAACTTTATCTATAAACAATTTTATTGTAAATATGTTGCCTATGTAATTTTCATATTGTGCAAGAGATGCAATCCAATATAGATATGGATTGCTGGATTGCTGTGAGGAGAATCAACAGTCAATTGTTCAAAAGGTTCAGAAAGAGTTCTGAAGAGACAGATGTAGTAAGTCCAAGTCCGAAATCCGAGCTGTCTTTGATAGTAGGGAGCAAGATCAAAACCGTTATGCAAAAAGATTTGCTTGGTTATAAATACTTAGCTAATAACTACATAAAAATTGCTAAATCTATATGTTATCTTTTTATCTCTCTTATCATTTTCTGTCAAAACTGTAAATATTCAACTCAGACCGAATTTCTGCAGATTGAGTTTCACTCATGAATTTCACTTCTGTAGAAAATTCAAAGAAAACACTGTTCTTCTGCAACAATGTTTTTTCATGTAAAAACCATTTGCATCAGCATTAAAGTTATGACCCAAAATACCCGGTAGATAACTTAAGGATTTGGGTGTTTAAACTAACATATGTTTGCAATACTTATTTGCATCAACCAATTCATTTTTACGTACCTTACCAATTAACCTTGCTCTAATATTATCGCTTTATTGTTTAATACAGTTAAATACACCAGTTACAAGTTATGAAAATCTACATTCACAGATTTCTAATGTGCACCATTCCACTTCTCTTTGTCTCCTATTTACAATGAGCACCTTACAGTCATTCATCATTCGTTTTAAATAACACTGTTAGTGTAAACCCAGAACAAATAATATAGTGTAGTCATGTCTCGCCCTTGTGACAAGGACACACCCCTTAAGTGGGCAAGGAAAGACTTTAAACAGGTGAAACTGAAGGAAACCTTGGGCGGGACCACACAAGAGGAAATCCCCTTCCTGGACTGTTAGGGCATGTATTTATCAAACAACTCAGGATTATTCCAAAGGAATTCCTAGAACTAGTTCCAGTAGGACAAATTTGAATATGATGATTTTCCCATACATTGGCTATAGATAGGGCCTTTCACCTTTTTCACAAGTTTCGTGGCAACCATAGGTTCATGCTTGGAAGAGGAAGGTGAGTCAAGAGGTATTCAGTTGGCTGCAATCTGCAACCCCACCACCAGATCCCACTAAATCCTACATACTGGTCATACTTGTAATGTATGTATTTTTCAGACTGTTTAACTGGTACTTTTACTTAAATAAATGATATGAGTACTTATGCCACTTGAAAATGACTATGTGCAATGTGAATCCACAAGGAATTATGACCTGACTCCCCTCAGAGTTTTTTTTAGCATCTTTGAGCTTTTTGTTTTGGTTTTATAGCCAACTTTATAGTTCCGATTTTTTTTCAAAGCTCTCCTAAGCATCGTTTTCAGCTGCAGGCAGCTGTTTTCTGAAGAAAAGCTTCGATAAACCAGCTCTAAGCTTTATGTCCGGCACTAAGCCAGTAGAGCATGATGCAGCATATACTATTGCAACTAAAGAGCCAGATATTTCCCTTAGGAGTTGGTGGAGAGCAAAACAGATCTAAAAGAAGAGTGAATTTTGAACTTAACATTCATTAGGGCGACACAAACACAACACAAGTGAAGGCTAATGTTGCAACGTGCTGCACTACCTCAAATGTTAATGCAGTTTTAAGATCTAAGTGTTTTATGTGAAGTCAGGGTAAGTGAACACAAGTTATATTACTTATTTTCATAAAAGTGTTCTTACACATTTCTTGTCTGTCATCTGAAATGGATAGTGGTCTGGTCACTGAGGGGTCTTGTTTTGCTTACCAATGGATCGTCACCACAGGGTAGACAAGTTAACTCATCTAAAATATGGCAAGAATCGCCCAAAACACTGGAGAAAATCTTAGCTCAGAGAACCAACTGTGTGTGTGTGTGTTATGTCCTCAGCTTTCTACTCCTTTATGGACAGTGGCTCAGGAGAGCGAAAGAGTCCATCAAACAGACCGAGACACGGCTCAGAGAGGAAGGAAGAGTCCATTTGAAACAGATAACCAGAAACACCTGCTCCCAGGTCTATATGACTGTATCCGCCTGGAAAGTAATTCAAAAACTGTTTTCAAATGTTTGAGAGTCTAGATTATTGTCTGCTCTCAGCAGGAGTAAGTTGTGGTTTCTGTTGGCTGCCAAATAAATGTCAAGGCAATGCTCGTCCTCCAAGTGGTTTCCTGCAGCACCCTGCAGAAAGCTCCCCAGTAGAATAGGAACACAGATATCCCAGCATGCAACAGGACAATACAGAGTAACAAAGGGCTATCTGGAGCTCTACTTGGAGACTGGAGAGAGAGAGAGAGAGAGAGAGAGAGAGAGAGAGAGAGAGAGAGAGAATACATTTCTACAGTACAATGCTTGCCGTCATCCAACAAACATGCCCTGGGCTGTCCCTATTGTGTCAGGAGCCCCTGTAGTCCGCTATGTAAACATCCCCTCTGTACCCCATCATGACTATATTCAGACCCTGAGCAGGAAGTGATTTCATATCCAACATCTGCCTCAGTCTTCCTCTCTCAGGTAGTGAACGTTCCCGGCAGCCAACCTCCCAGACCAAGGGAGGGGTTGCTGAAGAGAGTGCAAAGAGGGGGTTAGGTTGGAATTTTTGGTACGGTACTTTAATGGCACGGCGAACAAACGTTGTTACTTCAGCATTGTTATTCAGTGCTTTCCTCCAGATTAATTTTTTATATCCTGAAAACATGTATACAGTACGTGAGGTACTGCGTGTTATTACAGGACCATTTGTTTTTGTTTCTACAGCGTATTGTTTTCAACTCTTACTAAAGCAGCTATAATAGATATTTTTATAATAACAATATATCATGACAATGTGAAAACCATGTGAAACAACAACAATTGAAATAATGAACCTGTAGAGAGTTATCACCTGAATCTGTCCCCTCAGCTTTATGGAGCTTTATAGTGAGGCTTTACTGTTTTGGTTCACTGTCACAGCTCTCATAGTGTCTCAAGTGTCTCTGTATTAAAAGACATATCAATCAACTTTAAAACAATAGCAGATTCCAGAAATGTTTTGAATTTTGGTGGTGGGGTTTTAGTTTTTGCCAACATTTGGATCACATTTGGATGTACATTTATATCAAACACAGTAAAACCAAAATGATCCAAGAATTCAAGAACATTTCAACCACAATTTATTCTTTTTTGAAGGTGTAGGTACAAAAATTTTTTTGTATTTTTTGTATATTCATAAATTATTCCTTCATGTTTTTACATTTAATGGCAAAAGCCATTGACCAGGATTCTGTGTTGCGTACATGAGAGGTTATTAGTGTAAAATCAAACTCTCATTTATTGTTTTCCCAGTTCATACAATAACAATATAAATAATCTAAACGTCTCTTGGCTTTATATTTTAAATTATTAACCTTAACATAATATCCACTGTGGACCTGTCTTGTTGGCAAACACATTCAACTTCACTGATTACAACAGAACGAGTATGAAGCTGAGCCAAGTAACCTGCAGGGAGCTAAGAAGCTGACGAAAAGGACCGACAGGCCTGGCTGACAGTCATAAAACCTTATGAGGGAGCAATAAGGTTCAAGCTGGGCCAAAGCCAAAAAACTTTTATCGTATTGTATTAGAACATACTTATCCACGTAGACAACTGTGTAACAGGAGGTCTGTACACACACAGTCGGTAATCTGTGCATGGCAATCAGGGATGATAAGATCAGTCAGAGGTACAGTAGGAGTAAAGAAATAACTTGAAGGAGACATAAGGGTTTGACTGATTTAAGTGACATTACAGTCGAGTATAATTCTAACTTTTATTATTTTTTTAAAAACACAAATACCCATTTTTTGGGACATAATATGTTTGTGGAAGAAAATGAATCTCCCCTCCATTCCCAGGTCGTGAGGCCAAGCTCCAAAACAAGCCTTAAATGGGTGCGAGCTAATCAATCCGGCACGTTTACAAAAGCACTGAAGCTGAACAGTGGTATTATTTATTATTTCTAAATAGTCTGAAAACATGACAAATTTGACTTAAAATCCTCGAGCTGTGACCACTATGAAAATAAACTATGAAGAAAGGCATTACAAGCACATAAAATGTGATTAATAGCTCATTTTATGGCAAGGAAATATAATAGAGATTATGAATGTCTTTGATTTCTTTGAATGACTCCAGCCTGTGAGGAGCCATAAGGTCACATGACCAAAACCAAACAAAGGGCGCTGAGTGTTTCAAGGTGACAGCTGAGACAAAGAGGCTGTTTCACATGAGTAGAAAGAGTGAAAGGACAGGGACAGCCAAACACACCTGTGGTGACCTTCAAGGTAACTGGCCCTTTCAGTCTTGTTTGCTCGGGTGTGTGTGTGTGCATGAGTTAGAAGCTAAATAAACACACACTGAATTGGGGTCACAGATTCTTCAAACAGGTGTCTTGAGGGCAACTTGAGTACTAGAGCTGGTTCTGTTAAAACGAAGCCACATAAAGAAAACAGAAATAAATTTTAATTCACAATCCAGTCAAACCAGGTGATCAAAGGGTGTGGTTTTTATCATCGTGTGATCAGAGCGCTACCGAACTTACACTGAACAGGATCAGAAGAGGAGTGACCTATCTATCTACCATCTGTGGATCCCTGCTGGGACGGGGGGCTTGGGAACAACCTGCAGCAGACAGAGAAGTGAAGGATGAAATAAGGAAACCCAAAATAAATGAAAAGAGGAAGCGACAGCAGGTGGGGGGGTGAGAAACAAACAAACACAGGGCTTGCTTTACACCCACCTGTTCCACCGGCTGTCCTTCATCAGCTACCGACAGAACAGACCAGATTCTGACAACTGGGAAGTGGACTGAATTACTAATTTATCTGTTTATCATTTCCCTTTGTTTGAGCGTACCAGTTGTGGAGGAAGTATGTATTATTTTAACCGTGCTGCAGCAATATCGAGAAAATACTTTTAAAACTAACCTTATTATTGCTCATTTCTAATATTTACATTCTTAATTTCATTACTCATTACTACTATTATCAATAATGATTTTATTTCAATGATTTTATCTTACCCGCTTGCAATGAATTGACCATTAGAATCAGAAAATGTTCCAATATCCAAATAGCTGAGGTTTAAACTTTTCTTCATTCTGTACACATTTCAGTATAATTTTCTGCTGTAATAATTAATGGCTTTATCAATGGTTAAAGAAAATATACATTAATGCTGTATAGATCAGTAAGAATCCATTTATAACAACAACTTTTGGGCAGCCAGTGAAAACCATCTGACTGGTGTATCCCTCTCCAGCCTCATTTCTTTTGTTTTGTCTTAAAAATTAAGATTAAATTGAAGGGGGAAAAAAAGAAATATTACAACAAGTACCAAAACCAAAGAGGATTTTCATGCTGTCTGCCCAGGTGGAGGAACTGTCTCAAACAGATAAGTACCCTCGGCACACACACAGTGCATCACTCTCCCAGAAAAAGCTGTGAAGTGACACTGAGGGATTTAATAGACGGTATAAAGGCTCAGCTGTGAGATAAGAGTTAATTGCTTTAAGTTTACTGACGAAGATGGAGAGCGAGAGGTCGCTAAAGCCATCTGCAACCTTCATACCTCGCAACTCTCGGAATCCTTTTCATTTACCCTCCCTCCATGGCACTTTGACCCCCCCCCTCCCCTTCACACACACACACACACACACACACACACACACACACACACACACACACACACACACACACACACACACAGATAATAAATGCTGTTACAGAGAGAAGGAGTCACAATCACAGATTGGTGATTGAACTGTGAAAGTGACTCAGTGCAGACAGCCAATGGACCAAGCTGCTGATAAGAGCTGTTAGTGAGGCTGGTGATCAGTGGTCAAACACCATCTGTATAAGTGTGTGTCTGGATGTTTTGTGCTCCATCCCCTTTACTGCTATGATAAACTGCAACCCACGTGAATAGAAACTAAATGAACAATTCTGTATGCATATCAAAACTTTGTCTTCACAGTTAAGTTTGCTTTACAGACTTTTTTTTCCTTTAGTTTAATGGTTTGTAATTTTTTTTTCTTTTAGGCATTTCTCAACAAGTGATCACTTATTTTGTATTTCAATATTTTCTGTCACATATTACAGGTGTTCCATCACTATATTTATATGTTTCTGTTGTCACATCATTGCTCCCAGTAACATTTCTAAATATTATAAATGCAACAGCAGGTTTCTTTCATAAGAACTGAAATGCCATCTGAAATATGAAAAGCCTATCAAGATAATGAGGAAATATTGTTGCAGAACGTAACTGCCAAGTTGCAAAAATGCAATGTTGATCAAGTGCAGTATTTGATTTGCTTTCTCTGCAATTTTTCAGTTTTGCAACTAAAGCATGGTTTCTTTAGACATCCACAGCACTTCAGGTTCATGAAAGATTTAATATCGAAGCAGGTACAACAAAACTAGTATAATCCAGATAACCTTATTAGTAGCATATAAATAAAATTTTTAGTAGACAGGTTTGTCAGAAAACTGCCCAATCATTTGTTATTTGAACCATTAACATGTTAACAATGGTTAATAAGGCTAAAAACGATCACTAGCAAGGATGGAAAGCAACAGTAGCACATTTCCATATGCATTAGTGTGGTTATGGTTTAGTTCAATGGAAACAGAGTTAACCAGCAGCTGAGCGGCAGCTCTGTGACGGCGACATCCAAAATCATGTTAGGCCCCTTTGTGCCCGGTAGCCTCACATGGCGCCTTTTCATGTGAGCGCCGGTTCATTTTTCAACCTGATAAATCCCTGAGCACAGACTGACAGGCTCTCTGGGAAGACGGATGGGCCTGCAGAGACTTGTTAAAAGGGGGAACTTCACTGCGCTCCTTTGGCCAGGAGCAGGAGGGGGAGCTGCTCTGTAGGTCATCGCCCCACACATTAGTGGCCTTTAAATCTTACCACCAGTCACAAAGCGCAACATGCATTCATATAGTTTCTGAGAACGAAACCTGAACTCACATTAATGTGTGTGCATGTGTGGCATACGTGATTGAACTGACAGGGGTTTTTCCCTGTATGGGATGTCAGCACTTCATTACGTTTTTCATTGAGGGTTTTGCTGCTTGGGAGATGTGTTTTTCTGTGTATACATTACATGCTGGGAAATGGTACAGATGGTGCCAATGACAGAGACCCAAGAGGATGATTAAGAGGTGGAGAGACAGAAACATGAATATCTGCATCCGTGGAGCCGGAAACCCGGTCATCAGGCTTGTTTTGTGTCCTTGAATGCAACCCAATCCAGACCCGGTGTGGTCGGGGAAGAATTGAATTTATTTGTTATTTTCAAAAATAAACTGGCAGCAGGGTTGACCAGCATGTCCACGTACCTCCTGCGGTGAATCATCGTACATATCAGCTCTCTTTCAATCTCTGAGGCCTTCGCTCTACATGGCACATACACAATCCTATGTACACAAGTTTCCCCCTGCAGAAATCACAACAGAAGGTATCTCTTCAACACCCTTTCACTGTTAGTAGAACAGCTACAGATCACCAGGCAATGTTACTGCCCAAACAGACCACCCTCTCTGCCTATCTGCTCTTTTACATCACAGATTTATAATTCCACTGCTGCTGCTGCACAGCGTGGTTTTGTACGGCTTTTATCCCCGTCTCAGTCCGCCCTTCCCTCCTGTTCATCTCCTCATCTATCCGCCCGCTCTGTGACTCATATATTATTGTAGCGTTAACGCAGGGAAGCACCCGTCAACCGGAAGATCTGCTTCTGGAGATTGAGCCAGTAACTAAACGATGCTTCCTGTCTCCCACCCCTTATTCCCCCCTTCTAATGTTGCCTACAGAACCATTACATCAACATTAAAAGCCTCATGCTATAGCCTTGCTAAAGGTTTTTTTTTATCCATTTCAACTGCAGATTAGAGGCCGTAAGCTCATATAACCAACACTGAAAAACAATCATGCCATTCATGCTGTGGCAAAATGTATTATACAGTCAACCAACTGTACCTGTACAGGAAGAAATACTAATATTTTCCATTATGGGAACAGCTAAGGCTTGCATACTTAACTAAAAAAAAAATTAATTTGCATGATGAAAATTTGTCACATTCAAATGAATCGTGACAAAGTAAACAGCTGAGGGGGAAAGTACAGACATTGTGAATAGCAAACCTGATGTGAGACGCCCTCCTTCAGCTCTGCCAAAGACATTGTGCTTACTGCCATTGCCCACCACTGTCCCTGCAGCAGAATGCCATATGAATCAGAGGTCGCGGGTCACAGCAGGTTTGCATTGAATCAAGCGCAAAATACGCCCTGACACGTTACAGATGTATCCTCCACTTCTCACCACCAATACATCTACATTTACGTCAAGGGATCGAGGAGAAATTCAAGTTTAGGCCAAACAGGGCGGATAATCACAACCAGGCCGGTTTTAGCTGAAAGACAGAGCGACGGCTCATACGATGGGGGATCAAAGAAGGGGAACAATTGGAAGATGTTGCTTGCATGATGTTAAACGGCGGGGTTAACAGAACTGATGTGCATGGATAAAAGGCCGGGGCAGCAAATCTGCCCCGCTCCTCTGAGCGTTCGTCAGGGTGGGGCTGCGAGCGGGAGGCGCGGGTGAGCAAGTCTGCAGGATTGAGATAAATTCAGAAGGGAGTTGATAGGAAGTGCTCTCACATCACTTCCTCTCTTTGTTTTAGCCACTATTTTCAAGGCTTGGAATGTAGTTCCTGTCAAGAGGTGAAGGAATTCAAAACAAGTTCATTAACCTCTGCGTAGGGGAGCATCGAGGTGGGAAAGGACACTGGGTGTGTGTGTGTGTGTGTGTGTGTGTGTGTGTGTGTGTGTGTGTGTGTGCGTGTGTGCGCGCTGTTGTGTTTATCAATGAATTAATTTATGAAGAGGGCATCAACGAGAATGCATGTTTTCACCATCTCTGGCACTAAAGGTACATTTTCTATAGTCAGACTTTAATAATACAATCACATGCAACTGGATTCTTACCAACTGTGTGTGTTGTATGTCCTGTGTCCCAGGGTCTGTGGGAGAATGACAAAACTCAAGCACCACACCCTCCTCACATCCTGTGGCAGGCCTGTCCTTGTGTGTCTCAGACCGAGGACATACCAAAGCCCTGCAGTCCCACCACACTGACATAAACACTGACCCTTAAAAGGAAGTCTGTGTGTATGTGTATTTGTGTGTGTACATGTGGACCTGTAGAGTTGCCTTATTGCAGTACAATAAACTACTATAAACCTCATATGTAAAAATGTAGTTAAACATTAATCTAAACTTCATTTGGCTCAACAAGCACGATTCCACAGCTCCGACCACCTGGCACTTCCATTGTGTTGCATCGGTGAAGGCAGGATGTCAGTCACACTGTGCTCACCAACAGTATGTCTACAGGCTTTTATTAGTAAGTGGGTATATCTCTCAGGGGACATCTCAATGATGCCCAGTTCTCTGCACACAGACATCCGGAAATCCACCACTTTTCTCCAGCAAAGACCTCAGGCTCACTAATGACTCTCTAGGAAACTACAGTCAGCAGCAGAGGGATTTGAAGTCGAACACAGCAAACTTTTTCCAAATCCAGTCTGACGGCCTCTCAGAAATTTGCACATTAATTCCCAACCTTTTGGGCTCGCTACCCCATTAACATGAAGCGATGTGTACTTGCAACCTATTGTCACATGCTGTATAAGACTGTGTGTTTTCCCCATCTCAGATACTTTAATTTTAAGTTTTAAAACTAGTATCTTACAACAAAAAAAGCAATCTGCTACTATATATAAATATATATTCTCCATATATATTCATCTTAAAGACTCCCAGGTTGGGATGTAAATGAACCAGAAAAGGAATAGTTTGACATTTCACTGTCTTAGTTAGATGAGACGTTTTTGAATGCATAAACATATAGTGTGTTAATTAGTGAGCGTCAGGGGTTCTAGATTAGTTACCTTTGGACAGAGCCAGGCGAGCTGTTTACGCCTGCTTTCAGTCTTTATTCCAAGTTAAGCTAATTGGCTGCTACCTAAACCTTTATCTTTAACCTACAGGCATGAGAGTGGCGCCGGTCCAAATCCTCAGAACTCTCAGCAAGAAAGCAAATCATTTCCCACAATATCTAACTATTCCTTTAAGAGACAAAATGACAGAGAAAAAGAATAAACACAGGTATGCTGTGCACCACTACATGTGGCTGCTGTTAGTCTGGCAGCGTTAGATGCACCAAGGGTTTGTACTAAAATCTATTTTACGACAGAGGAACCCACTTCCACATTCAACCAAACAATTGTTTTGCTGATGGCTTGTTTATCTTGCATGCGAGCTCAGCCTGCCTTCCCTTGTTTTATCACCATCCCTTGCCTTCATTTATTTCTCATCGCGTGCCGTTCTTACTTTCCCTTCATGCTCGTCTCCTCGGTGCCATCAGTACTGTGAAACTGTGGATGGTTTGTTGATTGGGCAATGCCAGTCGCACTTTGTGGGCACATTAGGGCCCCACTGCTAATATCTTTGACATAGCTATGAGAGTGTTTTTGCTTCATGAAGCCTATGTGCAGTAGCTGTAAACCCCATCACAGAGAGGCCCATTTGTCAGGCTTGTTTATTGAAGCATTTTGCTGCATGCTGGGCTCATCGTAGGTCGTAAGGTCATGATTTCTGTTTTCATGCTCTCTCATAACAATGATTGACACCGTTAGGCGAGAAGCAAAAAACTATAGGTACATTTTTTGAGTGTTTCCAGTCTGTGGAGATACAGTTTCTGATGCCCCTTGTGTTACCCCTCAGTTCAACAGACACATTTATAGAAATGCTGAACAAACTGTCAGTTTTGATTTGCCTTGATTTGCTCTCCATAGCTATAGTGAATAATCGCATTTATACTAAATGGATGTCAAGGACAGTAAAGCCTTGGATCTCGTGTAAAACCGGAGACAGACAGGAGATCAAATAGCTGTAATGTTGAGACTGCTGCACAAGGTTCCCGGGGTTTGGCTGTGGTTTGACATAAATCTCCTCCAGTGTCTCTGTCTGATATACCATTACTGCTTCTTGGCCATCTGTGCTTAGTTAGTGAGCTAGATACCTTTTTAATGAACCCATCATTAAGACTTTAGGAGAAAGTAACAGCATTGGGTTGGTATTCTCTGTCTGTGGTCCAGCTCCTCTGAATACAACAATTCAAACAGTACTGTACTTCATTATAGAGTTGCGCTGCAAGACTGAGCTCTCCAGACAAGCTGTGTTAGTCGCCACTAAGGGGAAAAAAATCAATTCACCACATCAATGAGAGTTGTGTTATAACCTGGCAGAAAGAGCGGGGTGGGGTCTCATACACACATACACAAGAGCTGGATTCTCATAAAGGTCTCATCAGCACAAGGAGTCATGCTGCTCCACTGACAGCAGTTTCACTATTTACTTAAACTATATGTATATCTGAGAGGAAGCTGAAACAGATCTGCTGCTTGCTGTAGGAAAAGTGTTAAAGTTGAGTGGGAGAAATGCCTTCTTTTCAAAAGTCTACTCTAAAATGAACTATGAATTTTAATATTTTGGTTATAAGAAGTTGCAGGTTGTGTAATACCAGAAGTCACTGCTATGAAATAGCAAAATCCTCAGGCTGCTTTTGACATTCTATTTTACTAAAATTGTTCCATAAATCTATTTATCAGTGTGTATTTCACCATGATGTTAATTATATTTGAGATATGTAAAATTACATGTCATGTAATTTACTGTTGCAACAACTAACTGCTTAATCAATTAGTGAATGAAATAATGTATGTTAAATTCAAGGGTAATAGTCAATAACGTTTGTAGAAATATATTGGCAGAAATTGAATACAATATTAACAAGTATGTTTTCATTAGTGTATAATCACCTGAAAAATAAGAATCGTTAAGTTTCTGTTACCTTATGACTCGTTTGTATCTACAGAGGGAGAGGGTCCTCTTCCGTGGAGACCGCCATATTGAGCCACCATGTTTCTACAGTAGCCCAGAATGGTCAAACCAATGGCTCTAGATAGGGTCTGTCATTTTTTGTTTAGGTTTTTTGTGGCCACCACTACACACCTGTCATAGGAAGTTGAGACAAGGACATTTTGTAAATTGACAGTAAACATGTGAATGCTATTAGTTTTACATGTATTTGGATATAAACAAAAGTGTTTAAAAATATGGGGAGGGATCATCAGAGTTAGTAGGAAAGATTTTGATGGGCATTTTTCCCAATTTTCTGACATCTAATAGAGTAACAAATTTAAAACAGAAACCAAAAAACAATTTAGATTCAAATATGTTGTCAATTGCAAATATCTGTTCTACTGCAAGTTAGCAAGAGCTCTGGTCTTACTTCTTGGGAAGAAGCTGTTCATGTGTTGGGTGGTCTTGGTCTTAATGGACCGGTACTCTCTCTCCCAGAGGACAGCTCTGGAACAGATGGCTGAACAGAAACCTTCCTGCTCTCTGCTCCACCCTGATGTTACTCCCTTTTGATGTAGTATCCCTCTCAACGTGGACAACATACTTGTGGCTGTCATCAGAGCTGCTCCGGCCTGGGATGCATCAACAATCTATAAAATTGACCGGTTGAGATTCTTCAGCTGTTGCAGAAAGAGAATCCCTCATAATGAGCCTTAACAAAGTCCTTGCAGGACAGACGAGTTTACAGGTCAGTTTTGAAGCAAGGGTTGAGGACGAGGGGATGAATCTGTGGTTAAAAGGGTCATGTGGGGATCTATGAGCTTCTTGTCTCGTCTCCTGCTATGGTTTACCAGTCAAAAAAGCCTTCACTTCCGATCTTTCCTCTTCTTTCATTGAAGAAATACTCTCCAGTTCTGACATAACTGATGCTAGAAGCATTTTATTTTAGTAGCCACCACTGTTCTCAAGTGAACAGTCACTTACACAGGTTGTCACACACTCCTAGCGTTAAACCAGGCCCGTAGCTAATGCCATAACTGCCAGTATTTCCTCATAGGACACTGACTGAAACAAGTGCGTAGCCTGAAGCCTGGCAAGATGGATTCTCGTGCGATCTTGTGATTTCATGATCTCGAGAAGTCCAGCTGCCTTGCACAGTTAGTGAAATATCTACACGACTGCTATAGTACATGAATGAGGACAAAACGTGGCCTCAACATTCATGGTTCCAATATGATATACCCTAATGACTCTGGCAATCCCCTGACATTTCCTCTAGCAAGACCAGAAAGCTGAAGCCTTTTAAAATGTCTAGCTATCAGCTCAGTACTTTTATATTTATATTTAACACATTTGATTAGACATTAACCAGAATTATCATTTATGAACCATACATTTGTTTATCTTTCTAACCATTCTTGAAACGGAATAATTCTCATGCCACCATGACTTCCCCATTTAGTCTATTTCTGCCAAAGTTGGATAATAATCCACAGATTAGATCTAAGGATACCTTTATGGAAACGACACACAAGATAGTAGAATGCCAAATACTCCTTCCGACAAGCCATCATCAAAGTTGGCAACACTGCAGCGAATTTACAGCCAAGAAATATCATTTTTCTCTTCATGTAACAGCGCTCCTTTCTGTGACACCTCAGCATCTCTGGCAATGCATATTTCTGCGGCAACAGAACATTAAATCATTTTCGGAACAGGCTGGAGAAAATATTTCAGGATTAGTGTGGCAGCGCGGTGAGTGTCCACACTTAACACTCCTGCAGCCTCAAAAGAAGAAAACTTGGGAGACGGTGAGCTGCAGTCGACACAGCCACTGTTCCAAACATTAGCCTCAGAGTGGGGGAATTTGATTACTATGGTAAAAAAGCCAATCAGACTCACATGTGTTTCTGAGATGCAGAGTTTGTTGGAATGTGTATAAACTCCCTAATCTCTCCACACTGTTGATGACAGACTGACAAGGAGAGCTGGCAGCAGGAGGATGGAAATAGGAGAGAGAAAACGAAGGAGAGGCCATTAAAAGGGACATGACAGCATGCGCTAGAATAGTAAACATGCACATAGGACAAAATTAGTCAAGGATATTTTTTGGTATTGGTAAGAATTCTACAGAATCAGTTTTGAATTATGTATTTTGAAACTACCTCTGGCTGTTTATGTGGAGAACAGGAAGTTCCAGGACCACCAGCACAAAGTCTTCGGATGAGGGCATGCCTCGGCTTTGTCTAATGCAGAGGGTGACAGGGGAGTGATGGTATTGGTGGCAGGCCTTGGATATCAGGATGTCCTGTTTGGCTGCTCAGCATGGATATCCTACAGAGCAGAGACGCATGTCTCGTTCTCAGGTCACTTGTGAATCAGCAGAGTTGATAAAATCTGTTGAGACAAAGTCTAAGCCATAACAGTTCGACTTAATATGAATTCCAAAAATGAAGGAATCATAGAGGAAATGTAGGAATGTTGTTGCACTGCTGCAGCCAGTCTCCATATCGTCATGCCCATCTCAGCCATCACAGTAAACCACAAACACGATCACAGAACATTAAGTCTGACTTCACGTCTTTAGGCAGCAGTGCATGCTATAACCGTATTAAAGTATCAAATCTCTAAAAGCTGCAGTTACATAAAACACAGTTCTTTCTGCTGACGTACAGCCCTCCATTAGTGGTGCTGACTAAGTTTTGGCTGTAAAACACTGGCACACAACACTGATTCAAAACTTAAAAGAGGGAGATGAACGGAAAGAACAACATCGTTAAAAGTGGAATTGAAACTTCAATTGTCATCACTTTTTTTGTGGAAGAAAAGATAAACTGTAATGATACCACGGCTATTTGGCATATCTTTGCATTTTTCAAAAGAAGATAAAAACGTTTTTGGACATGTGGAAACAGCATGCAAGCTTAAAACCTCTGGGTGGGCGTTTCCAATGGCAACTGCTGAGTGACATCTTAAAGTTGCTAGGAGACATCCTGTCAACTTCTGTGTATCTCCCAAAAACGTTGATCCAAGGAGACTCCCCCCCCTTTTTCAAGAAATCCACATAACCATTAGCTCTCGCTGAAGGCACGAGGGTTTATTGAGTGGCTCGACATGATGACATGAATCATATCGATGGGCTTCACAGATCCCAGTCCAGCTGACCACAGAAGGGAGATTTTGGAGCATCCAAATGAGGGACTATATTTTGGAAGAATGGTGTTCACTCCCCGATTAAAGCTTGAGAAACTTGTAGAATCAGTAGAAAGAAGCTGATGGCTCCTGCCGGTGCGAGACATGATCAATCAGAGCATCCAGGCGCAGACGTATCAGTGCACGCATGGACACACAGACACACTCGCACATGCTTGTACAAATTAACACAAAAGCGTACCAACAGACTGAAGAAAGCAACGAAAGCCCTGCTTCATGTACACATTGACCATTGTGCATGCAGACATTAAAAAACATTTAATCTATATTATATCCTCTACCTTTCCCTCTGCCATTATTTCTGCAGTTATTATTCCTCTTGTCATTTACTGCATTTATTTAAAGGTTTGGGCGTCACTCGTCTTCTTTGCATTTGCAGAGACGCAAGCCTTGTGCATGCACCTATCTACACAGTGCTGACGTGAAATCTATGCGTAAAAATGCATTGAATGTACTCAAAATTGAAAGAATTGTTGTTGGGCACAGCTGCCCTCTTGTTCATGCCCCATCCAGGGTCACTGCTACTGCCCTTTAGCAAAATCTGTCAGGCCCTCTTTGACGCAGATCCGTTTCCTGTCAAAGTGAGATTTTTATTGTTCCAAGGGAGCAGGCTCCAGAATCTTGCTCCCACAGCCTTTTCCTGTTTCCTTTCAAAGAGGAAGTGCTGCTTTGCTTCAGTTTTTTTCCCTCCCTCCCGCATCTTCTCTGGGACAAATCTGGAACACCGACTGCAACACTTTGCTTGTGTCGGCCAAGTCTTGATTTCAAAGAATGAAAAGAGTTCCTTAAAAAGAGATGCCCTCCCACTTCGGCCTCTCTTACACAAGCTTACACACACACACACACACACACACACACACACACACACACACACACACACACACACACACAGCACATTCACAAACAAGCCCACACTGATTTTGCATCCTATATTCTAATGTGCGCCCTCTGAGCGATCAGCCTTGATGGTGTGTGTTGGTGTGTGGTCACCTGCGACCCCGAAGTGAAGCGTTCCCATGGTGCCTCAGCACGTAGCCTCTTTTGTTATCGCAGAGAAATAGTTCTTTGTATGCAGGGAGTGTCAGATCATATGTTTAGTCAGTGTAGGCCCTTAAATGATCACTGACACAACACCAAACACCAAGTACTCTTCAGCGCCATCAGTGCATAACAAAGAGACGCAAATTTGGGTGTAAATCAAGTCATTTCTTATGATAAATTTAAGTAGCGAAGCAGTCCATGCGCTGTTCCATCTGAGTGATGTTCTGGTTCATGAACCCAGCCACCCAACCATAAAACACACACACACACACACACACACACACACACACACACACACACAGAAAACAAACTGTGTGTGTGGGTGTGCAGTGCACGCTTAATTGTGTGAGCATGCAGTCCGGTTTTGCAAATACTTAGAATGACAAATGAGTCCTGGTTGCCAGACTGATCTCAGTCAAGCTCAGTTTCAGAGGCAGAGGAGGAGCAGCATGGCCGTCTTTAATACATGTCAACTACCACTAAGCCAAAGCTCACATAAGATACCCCATCTGAACCCGGGCACGACCCCAATCCGAACAAACTCCAGACCCTCTTAGATTGCCTGGGAAACATGAAAACAGGTCTCATAGGAGGTTATTTCGGATCATACACTCCGACTGCCAAAAAAAATCCTGCACATGGCGAGGGTCTGAGGACCGAACTGTGAATAGAGTAAGAGCGAACAACAGTCATTTTTTTGGTTCTTCGATCACTAAAATGCTCAAATTCTGCAGTCTTTTTTTGGGGGGGGGGGGGTCACAGTGAGGAATATACACCTAAAATATGACGTTTTAAGTTAATTGTTGAAACAGCAGTTGAGAAAACATCCTCACCCCAAGACCCAAGGTTCATTTAACAGCCGTTCTGTTTGAAAGCTCCAGAACAATACTGACTGGACCTCGCTGTGAGATTGATTGCATAAAATCAGGATCGACACACGAGCACATTTTAAAGCTCCAACGTGGCTTTTACAGTTCACCAAACTGTCTCATGGCATTTAAAATGGTGTGAAGAGGAGGGTCAAAATTTACACTAGATAAGTCTTTACCTTTCCTCTCACTGAGCTTGCACTGAGCTACAACAGAAGCACACCAGCGGAAGGAGGAAAACTTCATTCTTATCGTGCAACAGTTTGGCCTTAACAAGCTGCAATTTGCCAGATTTGATCTCACAGTGACCTTAACCACTGTAAACATGAGCCTATATGAGCTCCCAATGTGCCACCAGCTAACACATTTCAAATGCCAGCAAGTGGTGTTACATTAAACCTGAATGTAAGCTTCAGTAAATACAAAGAACCATTCCAGTACTGGTGATTCCTGTGTTTTCCTCTGGACTGTAAAGGCAGCAGAAGGCCACGGGGTGAGAAGGCTGAAGGCTCTTGCCCCCTTCAAGATGTCTGCGCCACAATGGGGACAGAAAAATGCTTCAAAATCAGATTCGCGAAGCGGTTTGAGCAGGATGGAGAGTGTTTGTGCAGGAGAGGGGTTTTATCAGCGGCAAACACACACAGGAATTCCGGTTTGGGATTGTCCATCCAATTCCTGCGTTCCACAGGAAGCCCAGCATAAAAAGCAACTGAAAAACGCCTTTAGACATTTCATTTGTCGCCAGTCGACTCACAGTGAGCACCTCGAGTTGACCGCACAAGGTTTTTTATTTGAAAACCACCAACCCCAGCTTTAAAAGAAACTGGCACCATGGAAGACTCCTCTAATGCACCGGACCGGCGGCTCGTGCCCATGGCCGCCGCTCAGTTTGCGCGCGCACACGCACCTGATGACCCCATACTGCGAGGGTAAGTTTTTTTTTTTTTTTTACACATTTAAAAAAAAAAAAGGCCTGTGTTTACCTTCCTGTGCAACTGTGTGTGTGTTTTTAAACTGATATTTCGTTTTATTTTCATTTTTCAAAAATTCCAAATAAGGTCAAAATCCACTTTATTGGCAAATGGCGTAGCTCTCAGTATACTTATACAGATTTAAATGCAGTCATAGAGCCAAACAAAGATAACAAGCTTTACCAAACGTAAGAAAATGTGATCATCTATAACTATACAGACAAGAAGTGGACATGCTGTAATAAATAGTGTATGGATAATACAGAGTTGGTTTAATTTGCATGCATTGAGAGTGCATGTACAGTACAGTCAGACATATATATATATATATATGACCTATTACACTTTAACATGGAGGCTACAGTGGAAGAATGTATTACAGCTCCTTTCATTTTGGGAACTATACTACTAAAAATCTGTAAATTGACAATAAAATATAGGGTTCAAGGCCCTTATCTAATAATTACTTAATGGGAATAATGGTCATTTAGCATAGGTAGTACAGGAATAATTCATCTATGTCCTAATATTATCTTTATTCACCATGTTAGGCAGGTCAAACATTGATCTTATATAGGAGATAGCTTCAGAGGAAAGGGTTTGGCACAATAGTGTTGACAGAAAAAGGAAAAAAAAACAATTAAAGCTCATCATTACTATGATTTCAAGTTAAAACATTTGTTTCTTTTGGACATTCAGTGAGGTTTTATATGTCTAAAATGTTATATAATTATTTTTATTATTTGATTTAGTTATTCTTTTTGCGAAAGCCACTCGGCTGAATGATTTAGAATTCACTAGACTGGAAAACTGGACCTCAATCAACATTTTTGTTTTCCTTATAACTTCCTGCTGTTTTCCTTTTTACAGCGAATTAAAGGACAGGTTCACTATTTTTAATAGTAGTTTTGAGTAAATCGTCAGGTGTAGATTAAATGAATACTGACACTGGTTTTGCGTGCTGTAATAATTCTTCTTGTCCATGCTGGCCATTATGAGCTCCTTAGGAATGAATGCGTGTAAGTGATGGGGGACAAGAATCCACAGTCCTCCTTCTGTGCACATAGTCCAGAGGAAATCCTTCCAAAGTTGCAGTCTTTTGTAGTACAAAATTCCCCACTTAGTGTTAAAATCCTTCCGCTGTAGCCTCAGATTTTGGAACCACATGAGGAAGGTATCTCTTAGTGATCACAGTATGGACAGGAGTATGACTGCAGCACCCATACAGGCACCTGAATATTATTTTAAGACAAACTTGAGAAAAAGTGTCCTTTAATTATCATAGCTGCCACCTTCAGACACCAGAACAGGGTCTTTTTTTTTTTTTACCCATGAGCCAGCTTGTATCAGTAGGTTATGAATGAAGAATGAAGTGTGTGTAGTTGATAGCCTTGCAGTGACGTCACTCACGGTAACCCAGCGCAGGCAGTCTGAGCTCCGGGACACCCAGCTGGAGGAGTGGGAGGAGGTCCTACCATCACCCCCCATGCTCTCTGACAGTCTGTCTGAGGAGAAACCTGACTAGTAGCGGAGTTTTTTATCACTGGACTTTGAACTCACCAGCGGAATATAACGGGACTTACTTTTGTTCCAGACGCGGGCGTTCCTCTTCAGTTCCTGCAGCTGTGTGTGTGGTTTTTTTTTTTTTTGTCGGGGGGGTTGATTTATTTTAGGAAAGCTGATAGCTCATTGCACGGTTTGTGATTATTTTTTGATCCATGCATGCGCCCTTGATATTGGCTTGTGCGTGCGCGCTCGTTCGGTGCGGGGAATGCGGGGTTTTCTTTGCGTTTGTTTCTTTATTTGTGGAGTCATCCGTTCAATGCGTGTAACTCTGCGTGCTTGTGCATGTGCGCGTGTGTGTCTGTATGAGTTATTATTCCAGAGATGGTGCTCTGATTGAAGGATGTTGCTCTCCGGAGCTGTACAGTGCTGTAAAACAGCGCCCTCTCTTGGCGAATGTTAAGAAATGTGCTGCAGTTGCTCCTAATGTGTCAGTAGGTCAGAACTTAATACGGTTTGAAAATTACACACAAAAACACAGCAGATGCAGATACAAACACGTGGTCTGAGCCTTGTGATCACACGTGTGCAGCTGCATCATTTTGTATCAGTTGTATTTTATTCAAATTGCTGCTTTTTGCAAAACTACAATGGGATACATTTATAATAATCTTTAGGAAATGTAAGTCTTGCTTCCATAATTGAGCTTTCTACCACTTCCATCTTTGCAGAGAGGCTTTTACATCACTTATGTACACGTTGGTAATGTGCTGTAAGCAGCCAAAAGGATGAATCTTAAATATTTTAACATCCTTCCCTAATAATAAGCCATTATCCAGTCACAGGGACACTGCTATACCACACCAAACTAGTAAACTTTCTGGACATGCATTTTGCCCTGCAGCACCTTCCTCGTTCTCTTCAAAGTGGCCCCCTGCTGCGCTGCGAGTCACACTCGCTGCCGTGATTTGTGAATGAAACACAGGCTTCAGATGTGCGTGTCCTGTCTCCGGGCATCAAGCCAGCGGGGGGATCAGAGAGACATGCAAGCTGTGGACCGAGGCTTAAAGAGTCACCTCCAGGATAAGTGAAGGCTCTCTCGCAGGCTACAGTCCTGTAACC